TCCTGTAACATTGTCTTTTAAAAAAAAAAGTCATTCATAGCTTAATTCTACCAACAGCAGAAGAAAGCAGGTTGCAGCTCTCCAAACCCATGAACCCCACATGGAAAGGGGCAGCCCTGCTCTCGCCCTACCCTCATCTCTGCCATCTGCGAGGGCACAGAGCTCCCGTGATCAGCTTGCTAATGGTTCTGTGTTAAACCTGATCCAGTGTCATGGTTTAACCCCAGCTGGCAACTAAGCCCCACACAGCCACTCACTCACTCCCCTCTGCTGGGATGGGGGAGGGAATCAGAAGAGTAAAAGTGATAAAACTCGTGGGTTGAGATAAAGACAGTTTAATAGGTAAAGCAAAAGCCGCACACACAAGCAAAGCAAAACAAGGAATTCATTCACTGCTCCCCATCGGCAGGCAGGTGTTCAGCCATCTCCAGGAAAGCAGGGCTCCATCACACGTAACGGTGACTTGGGAAGACAAAATGCCATCACTCCGAACGTCCTCCCCCTTCCTCCTTCTTCCCACAGCTTTACATGCTGAGCATGACATCATATGGTGTGGGATATCCCTTTGGTCAGTTGGGGTCAGCTGTCCCGGCTGTGTCCCCTCCCAACTTCTTGTGCACCCCCAGCCTGCTCACTGGTGGGGTGAGGAGCAGAAGAGCCCTCGACTCTGTGTCAGCACTGCTCAGCAGTAACTAAGACATCCCTATAGTAGCAACACTGTTTCCAGCACAAATCCAAGCCATAGCCCCATACTAGCTACTGTGAAGAAAGTTAACTCTATCCCAGCCAAAACCAGCACATCCAGCTAAGTCAGTAACGTGAAGGCACAGTTCCACACAACTTACAGGATCTTCCCCTATGCGTTTTTTGCTAGATCAGGCTCTCACTGCCCAGCCCCAACAGCGCTGGCTTTTAGAGGGAACAGGACAAGCCAGATTTGGGCACAACTCCACAAATCACATCATCCCAGTTTAACACTGCTTACCTCTTGCTGCTTGGGGTTGTGCGTCCTCAGTGCTTGCTTTGCGCCAGCTTCAGAGCCCTCTGTGAACCAGTATCACCCTCTAAAATTGCAGAAAACTAACCCAATAGGAAAGCCAGATTCAGTAAGATAGATCAGATAACAAAAACGCATGAGCAACCATGGAACCACCCAGGCAGGGCAGTGGAATGGAAGCAGGGCAGACACAGAGAACCAGAGCTAATAAA